ACAGGTAACAATGACATTAGGCATAGGTACAATATTTTGTAATAGAAGTCCATTTTGGCTTACCTTTAACTATATCCTGAAGGTATTAGCTGCAGCATGCATTTCTAGTGTTCTGCTTGTAATGTTTTGGACTGGAGAGTCCTCCCTCCTCTTCTCTTCCTGCCCTTCTCTTCTCTAATTGTTGCATATTAGAAGTGAAAATATATCTGCACCAAGGATTTGGATATTAGTTCTTTGTATATGAAGATTTCTTACCCTCTCTTAGACAAAACTTACCTCTGCTGAACTTTGACAAATTAGGCAGTGGGAGGTGAGACAATTCAGTATATTTTCATTTTGCTTCTGAAGGGGTTATTTTATGGCTGAGGAAGTTTCCTTTAGTGTAACAAGGAATACAATAAGTAGGAGACTTTGGGAGAAGGGGAAGGTCAGACAAACTACTGAGGCAGATATAAACACCTTGACCAATTTCTGTATAGTTACATGGTAACCTAAACTAAAATCAGGTACCTAAATAGTTTGCTTATTAATATACAGCAACTCAAATAATTCTTTGTTACACCAAGGCGTGAGCAAGTGATTGAAGTGAACCAGTGAACTTTTATGTATGGACTAACACAAAGGAATAGAAAAACTTATTACTGGGAAGATAATTCCCGAGGAATTTCAGATGCCCTGTTTTCAAGGGAGCTGTCAGTTGAGAAGATAGAACTGAGTGGTACTAACCCTTCTGAGTTCTCCCTGTGCTGTCTCGGGTCTGTAACCTGGCTAAAACCTGCTTTGTGGGTACTGCTCAGCCTTTGCACAGATCAGATTGAATACATATGGCTTCATCTTTCTGGCGCTGTGGGTGGCTTTGTTCAGAAATGCAGAGCATTTGTTTGTAAAGAATTTTGCAGAAAATGCTTCCAAGGGTCAGGAAGTTGTTCTGTTAGTGTGTTCCAGGACAAAAACCCGGTTTGGTTAGGTGTGTGTTCAGCTTGCTTAAGCTGTTAATTTAGAAAAGCAGTTGGAGTATTTCCAGAAGTTAATTGACTTTGACGATTGGTTCTAGGCAAGTTGTGGCATGGCACAGACCCTATTGTGTGGACCTTGAAGAAAGTACCTTCTCGCATCTCCGTTCTTTTCTGGAGCACTACTGTGACAAAATTAACAGTGAAATCCCCCCTCTTCCTTTTCCTTCATCAAGGTACATACAGCATATGCATCTCACAGATTTTTATCACGTTTTTTATTTCAGCAGTGGTGCATGGCTTAGTCCTGGTTAGTCTGTTCTGGTTTATTTGCTCGTTCAGGTGCCATTTGTATAACACCAGGAGCTTTACAGTGCCTCAAATGCAACAGGATCTTTTGTCTGGAATTTATTTTCATTATTCACTAAACTGCATCCTATATTTCAGATCTATCCTTTAAAACACATTTTTATTTATAGCTGAAATGCATTTACTGTTTCTCCTTTGTCAGCTCTTAGTTCTGTAGCCAGTTTTTCAAAAGTTTAAGGAGACCAGCGACTAATATCCTGAGTTTTCATTTTTAACCCGATTATTGCACTCCTAAATCTTCTGAGAGAAGATTACCTTCATTGCTTCTTAAAAGTTGGGATTTTTTTCTATAATGTATGTGTTTATCTGGGTATTTTGGGATGATTTTGCCTCCTGATTCATGGGACTGCTTTTCTAGAGTGAATGCCTCTTGGGGCCATTGTCTGCAAAGACACTTCTCTGTTCCAGTTTTGGTTCTTTTAAGCAGCTTGGCAGTAGGTTCTCAGAGGAGTTTCTGTAAACTCCCAGTTGTAAATTTACTTACCTTTGTGGTACGAAAAGTCAAAGGAGAGTTAAAAGCTTAGTGCACAAAAAAGTGTCAGGGAGAGAGGCTAATAATAGGAGAGATTAACAGTATTAATGTGTTTCTTTCTGCAGGGAGCATCACAATTTCCTTAAACTGTGTTTGAAGCTGCTCTCTAATCACCTTGCGCTCGCCCTGGCGGGAGGTGTTGCCACGAGCATCCTCGGCCGACAGGCTGGTCCTCTTCGCAACCTGCTCTTCAGACTGATGGACTCCTCTGTCCCTGATGAAATTCAGGAAGTAAGTGAGGCTTTGTTGTTTACATGTGGAAATTGTACTGCTCTCTTTCTTTGCTGGCTGCGTAGTTAGAGATTAATCTGACTTTCTCAAGTTGGCAGTTGGAGAAACACGATTCTCACTTACCAGTTTTACTCATTGAAATGCAAAAAAAATGTAGTCACCTTCACTGCTTTATGATCTGAAAGCAGAGGAGAATGCTTGCACAAGGATTTCAAAAAGCTGTTTTGTTTGTAACTTTTAAATTATTATTCCGTGTAATAATGAGTCTAATTAGTGAATGTTGTGTGTTGAGGAACTTAGTTGAGCAGTTCTCCTGGGTACACTCTTACGGGACATAGAAACCCTTGTTGGTCTTGTTTCACTCCTTCAATGCACTGCACGTCTGGGCATCACAGCACTAAAGATGAGTGTAATAGAATTCTGAGGTGAAATGAAATTAAGCAGATGTTTTGGATATGTCGTGTGTGCTGTGCTGTATTTTGCAAAGACACGGGTGAGTTGATTATTTCCCCCTCCTCCACTGAGGAAGTATTTTCTGCTGCTCTAATTTCAGGTTGTAATTGAGACTCTGTCAGTAGGAGCAACTATGCTACTTCCTCCCTTGCGGGAGAGAATGGAGTTGCTGCATTCTCTTCTACCCCAGGGCCCTGATAGATGGGAGAGCTTGTCAAAAGGCCAGGTAAGGTCAAGTAAAAGTAGGCCGTGCTTTGCTTTGTGTTTTTTTGCTAGGATCTTTGGAACCATGAGGTGAGCCTCGTTTGCAGAGTGCAAGCACATTACTGGTGAGCTGCAGTGCAAAGCCCAACGTAACAAATTCTATAGGGAGCCTGACTGAACCAGGACTGAGGCAGGGAGAGCTGCCTGTTTTCTCACATGAAGGTTGACTACAGAAAGCTTAGAAACGTCTCCACACAGGTTTAAAGACTAGGTATTTTTGAATGCTAGTTTAGCAAGTCTTGGTAACACAAACTTAACTATTTTCTAAGAATACTTGTATAGTGCTTTCTCTACATGGGTTTCACCCTCTTTTGCAAAGATGACTGCAGTGTTGCTTTTTTATTTTTCTATCTTGGATATAAAGAGCAGGAATTGATGCAGGTTAGGAGATGTGCCCAGTGTCCTACACATGGAAGGGAAGAAATTCAAGGAACATTTGTTTCAGTCATTGAGGGCAGTAGGAACTGAAGCTTCAGCAGTAGTCTCAGATTAAACTATGAGGAAAACTGTTCAGTTCTGTATACATAGGATTCTGGTCAAATCCTTTATTTTATTTACTATGGAATAGACTGGTTTGCACTTAATACTGGAACTATAGGAAGAAGAATCCTCTGATTCTAATTTTCTAAAGATTTGTGAAGATGAGTATTGGTACAAAGTAAACCCCCTGACAGCTGCTAGGATAGAACAAGTTCAGGTTTTTCAGCATTCGTAACCGGCAGCAGGGGCAGCAGGACTGAAACTGAAGGTCCTTACTCTGCATCTGCCACCTCCCTTGGTCTAACTGTTTGCTTGTCCTGCTTTTACCCTTTTTCCTGTGTATAGCTTAGAGAACTGGTGTGTACCCCACTTGCCCCCAGGTAATTAGAACAAGTCGGAGAAACCATTTGGCCCAATGTCCAATATCTCCCTCTTAATCTCAGATTTTTGCTAGGTGTGGTTATCCAGTTCAGTATATTTGTCTGTTCTCTAATGCTACAAATCTGCAGGAAAACCTGGAGTTGTTTGGGTAAAGTCTTCGAGCTTATTTCTGTGCCCCATTGGCGTATTTGTATTGTGTAACTGTGCCTGTTGCTTCTTTCTTCTTAGCTCATTAGTTCATCTTCATTAACAGAGATTGTTATTTCTGCCCAAACATTTCCCTTTAGAGAATGCAGTTGGACATTATCCTGACCAGCTTGCAGGATCACACCCACGTCGCTTCCCTGCTTGGCTACAGCTCCCCGTCCGACGCCGCGGAGAACTCCTCGCTGTGTGTCAGCTACGGAAACCTCTCCGAGCAAACGTACTCTGTCCAGAGCAGTCACCCAGATACTCACCTGGCCGAAATCCTGATGAAGACTCTGCTGAGAAATTTGGGCTTTTATACAGTAAGTATAGACCTTGCATGAACTAATACTTTTTTTTTAAATCAGAATGAATTTTGGATACTGAGAAGTTGTTCTCGGTGAGCTGAAAAAAAACATTGCTCCATCTGAAAGAAACCTTCTTAGAAATGTTCCTGTGACAGCTGTCACAGTCACTGCTACAGCATTCTAAACTCTTGTGATTTCGAGCTTGGTTGCCCCATGATCCACTTGACATTATCCAGTTTCTTCAGTAATGACAGGTGCACAGAGTAAAGATTAAAAAAAGCTTCTTCTGTAGATGTTTGTAAAGTATTATAGCATTTGAAGCAGAGCTAATTGTTCTTCCCCCCTCCCTTTTTGTCTTAATAGGACCAAGCCTTCGGAGAACTGGAAAAAAACAGTGATAAATTTTTACTAGGTACATCATCATCAGAAAACAGCCAACCTGCTCATCTTCACGAGCTTTTATGTTCACTGCAGAAACAGTTGCTGGCTTATTGCCACATCAACAGTGTTAGTGAGGTGTGTGTCCTTCTTTTTATCACTTAGGGGAGAAAAAATTAATTCAATATGCATAAGCACCAAAATGTTGTAAGGTTCCTGTTGAAAATCATCTGAGTATTTGAAAGTTAAACTGATTTAAATAATGAACCCCTAAATATCTTTGCAGACTTATTGTTGTGTCTGTTTGTTTCCTTTCAGAATTCCAGCAGTGTGGCACTGCTTCACAAACACCTTCAGCTTTTATTGCCTCATGCCACAGATATCTATTCCCGTTCTGCGACATTGCTTAAGGAAAGCTCTTGGAATGGTAGTGTTGGGGAAAAACTGAGAGGTAAATATTCATGGAGAGAGCAGTAATGATGGCTCTGTAAGCTTAGGGCAGTTTCTGTGTGCTTAGGTTTGAATAATGCCTTACTTTTCCTGTAGCTGCATAAAGTAGATATCCCAAGCCTCCCACTGAGGAGATTAGCTGTCTACCCAGAACAGCATCTGGTTCATGTTTTGATGGAACATTTTGCATACAGGAAAAGTGCAGAATGGAGAGAATATTGCTCCTGTGCGCTGTTGGTTCAGTGCTGTTAGTTGTAGATTTCTCTTTTTTAAAGCACTCTTTTTGCCGTGACTGAAGAGTGTGTGAGTAAAACGTGGGATAGATTAATAATTTTTCAACACGTATAGCTGGGATATTTTGGGATAGCTGAGGTATTTCTATGCAGTTGTTTGACTTGTTAAGTCATGCTTAGAATGTAATTCTGTAGCTGTAGCCCTAATAGAGTTTTGTTTCCTTCCTCTGCAGACGTAATCTACGTCTCTGCTGCTGGCAGTATGCTCTCCCAGATCATCAACTCCTTGCTGCTGCTGCCAGTCTCGGTCGCTCGGCCCTTGCTGAGTTACCTGCTGGATCTGTTGCCACCTTTAGATCGTCTCAATAGACTGTTGCCTGCTGCAGCCCTTTTGGAAGATCAGGAATTGCAGTGGCCTCTTCATGGTAAGTGTAATAACGAGCACACTTGGATCTGGAAAAAAAAGAGTGGCATCTTTTTGTAGTGGAAGTTTAACCTTCTCTCTTAAGATGTCTTTTTGTTTTGACTCCCTGTCTTGCAACACCACCTTTTCAGTTTCTTAAATGTGTTAATATCCCTTACTGTGCAGGGAAACTTCTTTATTCTGTCAACCCAGAATGTGTTTGGCTCAAGCGGCAATCCAAGAGTAATGTATAGTACATATGGAATGGAAGGGACTGAGTTTGAAGTACGTGAAAATATTCTTGTGAAAGAGAGACTGTTTCAGAGTCACGCAATATCTCATGCTGGAAGAGAGCCATAAGGATCATGGGGTCCAACTCTCTGTTCCTCACAGGACTACCTAAAACTAAACCATCAGTCTAAGAATGTTGTCCAGAAGCTCAAGACATGACCACTTCCCAGGGGAGCCTTTTCCAGTGGCCCACTGCCCTCTCAGGGGGAAACCTGTTCCTGATGTCCACTCTGAACTTCCCCAGATACAACAAACAGATAATTTCATCATGATCGATTTACTTTTGTGTCCAAATTTTACTTCTGCTTTCCTTCATGGTATAACAGAATTTTGACTTAAAATTATGAATTGTGTGCTAACTTCCTGAGCATGTGACATCAAGTATTTCTGGTGCCAGTGAAACAGAAACGTGAAAACAGAGGTGAAGCAGCTGAAATTTGTGATAGGAAATGTTGTACCTGTTCACTGGGTTTTTTCATTAGTGTTTTTGGCCAAGTTCTCTGCTTTAGTTGAGAGCAGTTTCCTGTCGTATTATTCAGCTGTACGTGTTTATCAGAACACAAGGAAGGTTCTCGGGCAGAGTTTGAGAGAGACTTTGCTTCCCGAACAGCTGTGCCATGAACGGTGGTGGCCGCTGCTGCTGCTGAAGTTACAAATGTTAGGTGACCTCTGTCCTAGCTGCTGTTTCTTCAGTTCATAGGTTGTCGGTTGAGGGGCAAATTTGCCGTTAAGTGGGAAATATCGCGGAGGTCGTGCGTCGGTTTTGCGAACTGTGAACTGTCGCCGGCCCCTGGGCGCCGGTGCCATTGAGCCTTGCTGTTGCAGGCGGCCCC